TACCTGATGGAATTTTCCAGTCGAGTCTCCAGATCCTGACAAAACCTGCCCAAGTGTTTCAGACTGTTATTAATGCCTAACATAAGTCCTACTTTTTTATTATTCTTATTATTATCATTTTGTAAAACAAAAATGAGAAAATCCAACAAGATGTGCAGAACTTTGAGCTTCATTCACAGGAAGAAGCCTTTGTTTTCCTGTCTTTACCGTCCACAGCAGACAACAGGAGCTGGTTATTTTGTTGCTATACGCATCAAACTGTCAGTGGATGGTTGAGCAGAGGTGCAGGTGCTGTAGGAATATGAACGGTGGACTGGTGACCTGTTCAGGGTGTGAACACTATGACTGCTGGACAAGCGGTTAAGAAAGGGATGGGTAGCTGCTGCTGCTGATAGCAGGTGCAGCTACCTGATGCTGTCTGTCTCATTGTTGCTCGTACTCAGGCAGAACCTGGGTAAAAACAGCCTTTACGTCCCCGGGCTTGTTCTGGTTGTGAGTGAAATCATTCTGCACGGTGTGTCTTTGCTTTGTCGACAAGCTGCTTTGGATTTGCAGCCACATTTCTCCTTTTGTTGCCGTGGAAGCCGCAGCGTTGGCACGCCGTCGGTGCCTGCTGAGAAAGGAAATAGAGTAGAGAACACACGCGTGCACACACACTGCATATTGATGCGACTCAGGAAATAAGTCTATTAATAACAGCATTTTTTCAAGACTCTGAGCTAATAAGCTACAGTGTGGCGTTGTGTCTGGCTGCAGGTATGATGGTATCTTTATTCCATCCATTGCAAAGAATATTGATTTTACAAATCACCACACTTCTCCTCCAAAGTGAAATGATGAACGCTGTTTTATATTTCAGACCAACATGATCCCAGGTTCTCCCAGCAGTGACGACTCCAACTCCGGGGGGTTCAACAAGTTAAGGAGACGTAAACTATCATTCAGAAGACGCACAGAAAAAGGTAACCCGTCCTCCCTGGGTCTCATCAGTCAGTGTTTCACCGTTACTCTGCTGAATGTTTACTGTGTTATTCTGTACACGCCTCCCTTGGACATCATTATTATTAGGAGCCAGTTTTCCTGTTTATGAACCCCGGTTACACAAAGCAGTTAGATAAACTACAGGCATGTTGTAAATGTGTAAGCGCCTGCGTGACAGGTCGTTTTCTCCTTTAAATTCAGACAAAGCTGAGATGATTGTAGCTGACTCTAAAAATCTCATGTGCTTAATTAGATCATGACATTAGCATGACTCCAGTAACACAGCCAGAAATCTTGGAGCTATTTTTAACCAGGATGTGTCCTTTAACACACAGGACTGCTTTCTTTTATGTGTGCAATAGCTCTAAAATAGAAACATGCTGTCTCAAAGTGACATTGAAAAGCTAGTTAATGCATTTATTACTTCAGTGCTGGAACATTCTGTCATGAACCAAAGTTCAGTACACAAGCTGGACCCAGAAGCAGAGACAACACGCACAGGAGTACGAAAAATAAACTTTATTTCAACTAAAGGTGTCCCGGAAGGGTCAAAGGAAAACACACGAGAAACTAGAAAAACCAAGGGACCGGGGGATGAGTAGCAGCATACGTGGGGGAGAGTATGAGTCTTACAGTCAAAGCGGGGCCGTGGGAGCCGGAGGGAGGGGTGAGGGTCCGCGGGGGAGCTCCAGGAAAGTAGAGGCGATCGGTACCGGAGGCGATCCAGGCGGCTCAAAAACACGCCGAGCTGTTACCTGAGCGCAAAGGAAAAGATTAGCGTTTGCTCAGGTAAATGAGGGTTTTCACAACCGCCTTCCCGTGGGTGTACGTTACCGCTGTGAGACGACTAGCGGACTGGCGTGGAGCAGCTGGCTGGGCTGGATCAAATAGTCCACCTGATAATCGCCTGAGATGGGATGCAGGTGTGGAGTTAACAGCCACACCCGTGGGCGTGGGCATCCCATCAGCTCCTCGGACACCGGGCCGCGGAGCATGACACATTCCTTATTGTCAGGCTGTTCTAAAAACTCAAAAGCTGCAGTGACAGGACCAAAGACGCCATCTTCTTCCCATACTGGCTCCTTTTCATTGGCTCCCTGTCAAAATCCTTCTTCTCACATAGAAATTTTGAATAACCGTACATTAAAGACCCCATAGTGTACCACGTTATAATAACAGAGTTTCTAAAAGTAGAATGGGAGGCTTCAACTGTCCCACTCCTCTGGAATCAGCTCCCAGTTTGATTTCAGAAGCAGTGTAGGTCAAGTTACTTGAAAATAGTAATCAGTAACTAATTACTGATTACTTCCCCAAAAAAGTAATCCCG